AAAAAAAACCCAATTTAGATTGTTGTCCATCCCTTTTCACCTCCTAAAGTTGTTTTGGCAAAAAGAGGCAGCTATATAAATCAAAATAAATCGTAAACATTTGAACCAGTCCTAATAAAGGCATTGCTCAGATAGGAGCTGGATTAAGCTTACTTGTTAGCTGAGCTCAATAAACTGTGTCAGAATTGGTTAATACCGTACATACTTACATATAAGCTCATATATAGAGATAAGCCGACTCTTGAATGTTTCACCAAAATAGTATGAAAAATGTGCCACCCACGGATAAGCCAACCAGCATTTTTCATGGTATTTTGGTTAAACATTCAAGGGGTCAGCTCTTCTTTGGATTTATTCCCTGAATAAATATGTACGGGATTTTTTTTCTTCCTTTAAATCATGTCTGATTTTCAGAGACCGCCGTTTTTTGGGCAAGCTTTTTCACAAGTGGTTTGAGAGAAAGTGACTGGCCCTAGGTCATCCAGCTGGCAATGTGATAAGACAGGACTAGAACTAATGGATCCCTCAGTTTCTAGCTGGATGACTTAACCACTCGAGCAAACCGGCTGTCAATACAGGATACAAGGGGAATACTTTTAAAAACCCATCCATGTTGTATAACCCAATAGATAAACCCATCCATGCTATAGATTTTTTTCTCCCATGGACCAATCCAGCTGTTTGCTGCTTTTTTTTTTTTTTTTAGTTAGCTGGAAAAATTTCATCACTTTCTACAATGGGATGGGCATTACATTCCAAAGGTGTTAGAAAAAAAGAGAAATATGGACAGTCTTTGACTTATGACCAGTATCATGATCAGAACTTTTGTCATAAGTCGAAATGGACCTGATATAATAACAATTTTTATGGAGGTCATTAAGCAAATCCAGCTTCCCAATAGGTGTTTTTTTGCTGGAAATTGGCAAAATTCCCTCCCCTCTCTTCCCGGTCCAAAATGCAAAGGGCCAGAATGACATCTCCCTGTTATCAATTTTCTTTTTAAAAAAATACACATATGGACTCTTGCTTAGCTCTTTGAAAGATGCCAAAAAAGCCAACAGAGTTGTAGGCTGCATTATCAGAGGGATAGAATCAAGATCCCGTGAAGTGTTAATACCACTTTATAATGCCTTGGTGAGGCCATACTTGGAATTCTGCATCCAGTTTTGGTTGCCATGATGTAAAAAAGATGTTGAGACTTTAGGAAGAATAAAAAGAAGAGCAACAGAGATGATTAGGGGACTGGAGGCTAAACATACAAAGAACGGTTGCAGGAACTGAGTATATCTAGTTTGATGAAAAGAAGGATTAAGGGTGACATGATAGAAGTTTTCCAACATCTCAGGGGCTGCCACAAAAAAAGAGGGAGTCAAGCTATTCTCCAAAGCACCAGAATGCAGGATAAGAAGCAATGGGTGGAAACTAATCAAGGAGAGGAGCAACCTAGAACTAAGGAGGAATTTCCTGACAGACAGAACAATTAACCAGTAGAACAATTTGCCTCCAAAAATTATGGCACTCCAACACTGGACGTTTTTAAGAAGAGACTGGACAACCCTTTGTCTGAAATGATATAAGGCTTCCTGCCTGAGCAGGGGGTTTGGACTAGAAGACCTCCAAGGTCCCTTCCAACTCTGTTATTCTATATGAGGTCAAAGAATTTCCCATATACCAAACGCAAAGCAAGAAGGTCTCTGAGCATCGATGTAAACACTCATGTGTGCAAAAAGAAGGGCCAGGGTTGCCATCTTGACTTTTTTGACCTTGCTTCCCTTTCAGATGCTGGCACAGTGAAGAATGCCAAGAGTGGGTGATAAAAGCAGAGTTTGTCCAGAAACTGCCTGTTTTTAAAAATATCCCTGTCTGATTCCCAAACTTTGATAAAAAGGCACAGAAAAGGGGGCCAGATCTCATTTAACTGCCTTTGCAGCCTCTCCCATCCAGACTAAGCTATAGGACCGTGATGGCAAACCTATGGCATGCATGTTGGAAGTGGCATGCAGAACCATTACTGCCAGCATGCGAGCCCTTGCCCAGAGCAGGTCTACTGCGTATGCGCCTGCGCCCACGCTCAACAGCTGATTGTCAGGTATTTGGTCCACTGAACAAATGTCTCACTTAGCAAGAGAAATGTTGGGCTCAATTGGGGCGGAGTTGAATACCACCAGTATTCAATTAGGATTTTGATTTTGATTGACTGATAAACGTGAGTTACATCTGCTGGACATTTGAGGATACAGTACAGAGTGGGATAAAAGTCAAACACATTACTTAACACACAAACACACATACAGGTTTTACAACAGTTAAGCTTCCTGCTTAACTGCCAGCTGACAGAGCTGAGGGCTTAACTTAACCGGGAACAACAGCATCCTGAGTCAGTTACATTATGCAAACTATAACCATCTTGTGGCAGAGAGTTCCACAGGTTAGCTGAGATTGCAGGAAAGCTGCCTTGCTCTATTCATTTGCTAGTAGACTCTTGTCTCTTGTATTCCCATCCTTTTTGCAGACATCAACACGAAGTAGAGAAGTTTTTGATTTTCTCTTCAGCGAAAATCATACTTTCAATAACCAACATGAGTAAAACTTTGGCCGCTGCCACTATGAGAAAAATATTTGCATGCTTTTCCAAGGAATAGCTTCACGCCAGCTTCTGGCATATGTAAGCCATGAGAATCATATGCAAGCTGTCAGCAAATCAATACATAAGGTCATTTGGCACAAGCTGGGTTTTCTACTGAAAATATATATATACCAATAATATTTTTCCCTTCCTTCCACCACAAATGCCACGTTTGCTTTCTAAATTCTCTTCCCCTGCACACCACTGAGACCAGAGGAAGGATCCCTTCAGCTACCACAAGCTGTTAAAAAAAAAAAAACCACACAAGTTTAAAAACTTTGTCATCCGTTTTCAAACAAAGGCTGTTCCTCCAATGGGATGGTACATCAACACATCCAATTACGCAAGGGTTGTTCAGTTCAGCCAACTAATGTCAACACATAGAAGACAGCTATGACCTGTTGGCATGAAATAGAACACAGCTGCGCTAGATTCACCACAGCCTTCAGACACCACATCAGATTCCAGCTCAAGAAATTTAACCGTTTATCTGAATGGGACAAACCACAGCTCCCTGTCATCATGATCTTCTTTTTAACGACTCCATAATCCCTTGCGGGGTGGACTGGGCAACTGAATGGAGCTAGCAGAGTGCTTTTTAATGGCCGGAGGTCCTTCCTGTCACCAATGCAGTTTCATTCGCCAGATATGTGTGCCCAGAGAGAGAAATATCTGCCGCTACTTAGGATCAAATTCACCGCCTCCTGATTGTGAGGCGAAAGCTCCACTTCTAGGCCACCGCACCCATTCCCGATCCACTGTCAAAAACCACAGCTGCCAGTCTGTCCCCCTTTATTTAATCCACACACACAGGCCACTGTTCTAGACCAATGCCCTGCCTAAGGCAGGAATCCTTGAACCATCTCAGTCCAAAGGCTGTCCAATCTTTTCTTGAAAACCTCTAGTAATGGAGCAACCCATGACTTCCAGAGGCAGGCTCTTCTGTTGCTTAACACAGGTAGCCCTCAACTTATGACCACAATCGGGACCAGAAAATTCATTGTTAAGCAGTACAGTTGTTAAGTTAGGTGTCACATGACTGCCCCTGATTTTGTAACTTTTTTTTTTTTGTCACCCCACAATCACCATTTGGGATCTTCCCTGCCTGCTTCCCTATGCTTGTTGGAAACTGGCTGGGAATTTCACAAACAGCCATGATGCAGCCACAGGATGCTGCATCCATCAAAAATACATACGGTTGTCACACACCTGAATTGCATTTACATGACTATGGGAACACTGCAATGATTTTAAGGGCAAAAAACCTGTTTGTAAGTCACTTTTCCAGCACTGTAGTAACTTTGGTCACTAAACAAATGGTCATAAGAGGAGGACTATCTGTAGCAATCATAACCAGGAAGTTCCTCCTTCTTTTCAGTTTGGATCTTCCTCTTTTAAGCTTCCACCCACTGATTCTTTTCCACTTGTCTTTTCTGAATCAGGAAAATGAACCCACGCGCTCTATGACATCTCTTCATGTAGTAGAAGATTACTATTATTACAGGCAGTCCTCAACTTACAACCATTCGTTTAGCGACCACTCAAAGTTACAGTGGCACTGAAACAAACTGACTTATGGCCATTTTTCATACTTATGACCGTTGTAGCATTGCCATGGTCATGGGATCAAACTTTGGATGCTTGGCAACTGGCATGTATTTATGACGGTTGCAGTATCCCGGGGTCGTTTTTTACAACCTTCTGACAAGCAAAATTAATAGGAAAGCCAGATTCACTTAACAATGCCACTAATTTAACAACAGCAGTGATTCACTTAACAACAATGGCAAGAAAGGTCATAAAATGGGGCAAAACTCCATTAACAATTTCCTTGCTTAGCAACGGAAATTTTGGGCTTGACTGTGGTCATAAGTCAAGGACTACCTGTACCTAATTTCAGAGAACATCCCTTATCACATTCTTCTTCCCATATACATGAACCTATTATACATAGGACATTTTTTGCAGCACCAGTCAACACACTATGATTTAATTAGATATATATTACACAACCAGAAATCTTTGTCCACCTATCAGGAAATAGACAGTGGGAAAATCCCTCCTAGCAGATGACATAATGTTAATTTCAATTATCCTTTGCTACACAAGCCATTTCGATTTTTCAAAAAGGAAGAAGGTTCAATATTTAGCTGGGTTTCCCCAATCCATGCAACTTCAGCTTCTATCATTCTAGGTCAAGGGGATTCTGGGAACAGAAGTCCAACGTATCAGTTTGGGCGAGATTGACACCTGGTACTCCCAATGGTGTTCTTCACATCTCAGAAAAGAGTCAAACCCCGCCCTCCCAAACAATCCATGTTGTAGCCCCTACCTGGATATATCTCAAGGCACTCCTTAGGACGCTGAGGTTTGAGGTTTTCTTGTCGTCAACATTGGGGATGTTTCTCTTGAGGGTCTCAAAACATTCTTTCAAGTGGGCACGTCTATAGAAACAAAACCCCAAATTTAGTCAGCCTGCAGAATGAACTTGATCTTGAAGTTGATCAAGATGACGTGCCGATTGGCACGAAATGAGGAAACCATTGGGTATGAGGTTTAAAGTAGGACAAAAACACAGCCCCTCAGTAGCGTTAATTCAGTGTTTGTTTGTCAACCTTGGCCACGTGAACCTTGGCTACCTGAAGATGGATGTGGACTTCAACTTCCAGAATTCCCAAGCTGGGAATTCTTGCTGTCTAGGGAATTCTGGGAGTTGAAGTCCACACATCTTCAAGTGGCCAAGGCTGAGAAACATCGGTGATCTCAGTGAACGTCTCAAATTAATTTTAAAAAGTATTTTTAAATTGCTTCAAATTTTACAATATTCTGGGTGAATATAGTTAATGCATGAAATTATTGTGCAAAACTGAATAGGCTCGATTATTTTGTGATTTTTTTAAAAAAAAATGTTATTTATAGGAGGCACCAGATGCTTCTTAAGGTGACTAAATCCAAACCTAATGATTTAGGTTGTTGCAATGCTTAGGACTGTTGAAGCTAACTTGCACAACTGCTTCATTCAGAGGCATCTGCTGAATGAAGCCAGTGGAGGTGTGGTAGCAGAACAAATAAAAGTCCCCACACCCAAAGACGTAAACACATCTGTAAATTTGACTTTTTGCACCGCCTTACAGGAGTACAAATCAACAGAAGCTCCAGATAACTCACATCTCCTCCATTGCCTAACATAAAAAGGCTTTATTTATTAAATTTATTTGCCACCCATCTTGTTTTGAAGCTATTCTGGGCGGATGCAAAATATTTTGCGGCCTACCCAACCTGCTTAGGTCAGCTGACCTCATCTAAGAAATTACTCAGTTGAGATTCTTAAAATGTTAGCAGATGTTTTGGACATCCAGGGATGATCTTTGAAAGAGACAAATCAGAGCAAGAAAAAAAAATCTGACCATGACAGGCAGGGGATAAAATGTAGGTTTGGGGGAATACACGTTGAGGTAAAGCATTTGAACTGATCAACTCAACATGGAATGAGAAGTTATTAAAATGAAAAAGGGCAAAACACACAGAAGAAAAAACTGGTCAGTATTGCTGTGGTCCAAAACAGGAATCCTCATAGAATATATTCACTAAGGGTTAAATTGTCAGATTCTCTTTCTCTAAATTTGGCTGTTTTTCTGGAGATATTTTCATTACCAGGCTATGTAAACACTTATTGGTGCAACCATCAGCTCGGAAACTGGAAATCATGCTTGGAAGTGGTTTTGCACGTCAGTTTAGCCTAAAACCCGCTTGATGGACAGATCAAGCCAAACCAAAATGCAAAAAAAAAAAGGTCAAAAATTGTTTGAAGAGGGCATCTAACATAGTTTAAACATAGCACATTCATAAGGCATCCAAGTAGGCAAAACCACCTATAGCTACTGTTCTGCATAAATTTGGAGAGATGTGAGGTAAAAAAGCAGACAAGCAGCTTCACACTTGGTTTGTATACTGACTTTGAGAAATGCAAACCATGATTAGTGCAAATCATGGTTTGGCATGGTGCTTTAACCGAACAGTTTCTTTTTTGGCACATTCACAAAGCACAACCGATATTCTCAGGAATCTTTGTATGTTCAGAAGAACAACTGGAAAACATCCTTTTTGGAAAACTCAAAACTTTCTCCACTGTATGTGAAAAGATGATTGTTTTGGAATTGAAAAAAGGTACATACCTGTTCTTCTCCAATTTATTATGGACTTCTCGAGTGCCAACTCTAAAATACAAAATATCAGAAAAAGCAAAGTCATTGCCAAGCAGCCAAGTTGTAAAATTAGAAATATTTCTGGAAGAGAAAGCATCTTAATTTTTACACTCTGCAAAGTGTTGTTAAAAGCAGTAGAAAGGAAGTATTTTATTTCGTAAGGAGGGAAGAAGTGTGCATATGCTTGCACATGTACAGGTTAGGTATCCTCGACTTACGACCATAATTGAGTTCAAAATTTCCATTGCTAAGCAAAGCGGTTAAGTGAGTTTTGACCCTTTCGCCATAGTAGTTAAGTGAAGTCCTCTATTTACAACAGTTCATTTAGTGACCGAAGTTACAATAGCACTGAAAAAAATGACTTAAAACTGCTTTTCACACTTACAGCCATGGCAACATCCCCATGGTAACAGGATCAAAATCCACCTGCTTGGCAAACTGACTCATATTTATGATCACTGTGCGGTGAAGTGATCTGCTTTTGTAACCTTCTGACAGGCAAAGTCAATGGGAAAGTTACGTTCCCTTAACAACAACAGTGTGACTAACTTAACTGCAGTGATTCAATCAACAACCGTGGCAAGAAAGATCATAAAATGAAGCAAAGCTCACTTAACAAACGTCTCACTTAGCAACAGAAATTTTAGGCTCAATTGTGGTCGAGGAGTACCTGTAATGCGATGGTTAAGCAAATCTGGATTCCCTCATTGCTTTAGCTTGTCAAAAGCTGGTTGGGTAGGTTATAAAAGGTGATCGCATGACCAGGGGTGGATGCTGCAACAGTCGTAAGTGTAAAAAATGATTATAAGTCACATTTTTCGGTGCCGCTATAACTTCAAGTGGTCACTAAACAAATGGTTTCCAGTCGAGGGCAACCTGGATCTTCTCCCTTCATTTTTCTTGAAGCAATTCAGAAGGACTGCAGACTCTTGCAGCCTCATTGAGCCAAACACACCCAGTCCCACATCACAGACACGCAAGATGTGCATGGCGCACTGATTGCCACATCCTTGTTGCCCTGGTAACAAATGCATCTGTTGTTTGCAGGGAACCTGCTGAGGGAAACGCGCGGCTCTTGCACCCTGTTTCTGACAAGGAAAATCCAGGACATTAGAAATGTGTCATCACGATCACACAAGGCGAGATTATTTTGGGAACCACAAGGGGAAAAAACCTCAGGCAAAAATGGAACTTCTCAGGAATTCTGGAGGGAATCCGACGTACATATCAGATTTGGCATCGTTTACTTTAGCTTGAGGGTTGCGGCCTGTTCAAAACCAGGCTGCAAAAGCCGCAGATGAGGGCGCATGAGTGCAGCTCCACTAGTGCAAGCAGCAAGCACGTGTGTTGTGTGTGTGTGTGCGTGCGCGCACAGCTCCATTTGCACGAGTGGTGGACCCGCCGCTCACATAAATGAAACCATGTGTGCTAACTAACCTGCTGCTCAGGCAGAACCATCCCCTGGTCCCTTCACCACCACCATATCTGCCGGTTTGCAAAGCGGGAGGTGTTGGGGCCCACTACTTTAGCTTATTTCCTGGGATCTCTGCAGGTATTCCACATGCTTGGTCACATGTGCATTACTGGATCTTCCCGCCAGTTGGTGTCTTTCACACAGGCTGGGACTTCAGATCCCAGAATCCCCTTGCCAATTGAGACAAAAGACAGGGTGGGATTCTGGGAATTCCAGCCTCAGCCTATTTCAAGAGCACCAGGTTGCAGAAGACTGGTTGTTCTAGTTCAGGCATCTGCTTCCCACAATGGCCAGTTAAAAAAACTGCAGAAAACCACCAAACCCAAATGGTATACAATTTCAGCCGCTAGCATTAGTACGTGTGATAGCTCTGAACGCTGAAAATTGAGACCAATTCTCTACAAAGGAGTGTTTGTTCCATGGCTCTCACGATGTCAAAGACCGGACAGCCATTTGTTTAGAATGGGAGGAGGATTTTTGCACTGGGCGGGGGGGGGTTGAACTAGAACCGTGATGGCGAACCTATGGCACGCATAGCCTTCTCTGTGGGCATGCAAGCCGTCGCCCCACCTCAGCTCGGCCGCACATGTGCATGCGCCTCCCGCTGGCCAGCTGGTTTTCAGATCTCTGCTGCACATGCTGGGGGCGGGGCGCATGCATGTGGAATGGCTTCCAAGAGACTGTTTCGTGAGGATGGCTGGTGTGATCGTTAGGTAAGGGCGTGTGAGGCAAGTTCCCCCCTCTCCCCCCCTGGTCTCCTCACCTCATGTTCTCGCCACTGCAAGCAACCAAAGGAAATGGCAGGCAACTGGCTGCGCCGGCACTTAAGTAGGGCTAATTTTGGGGGTAGGGCTTAATTTTAAGCACGTGCGTTTAAAAACATGATAACTCTTCTTTTCGGAGTAGGTCTTCTTTTCAGGGGAAACACAGTAGTTAAGGGAGACATCACGTGCTCACTCTTTAAAACCTTCCCTGCTGGCTTCCCTATTGATTTTCCTTGTTGGAAGTTGGCTGGGATGGTTGCGAATGGCGATCATGTGGCCCCGGGGCAGTACAACTGTCATAAATACATGCCAATAGCCGAAAACCCAATCATGATCACATGACCATGGGGAGGTTGCAAGGACCAATTGTGAGTCACTTTGTTTAGTGCCGCTATGTCTTAGGTACCTAAATGAAGACGACCTATAGCTCGTTCTATCTCCCAAATCTTTCTACTTTCAATGCACACAACAACCTCCTTAACCAAGTCACTTCAAAACACAGAAGGGGATCTTAGGACATGTGTGAATACCGCCCACTGAACTACTTGGTTATACAAGCTCAGGAGATGGATTAACTCCATAAAGTTAAGGAAGCTGGGTAAATGCAGCCCGCAGGTCTGCTGCAGCAGGGCAAACCACTCAGGAGTGATATTAATCATGAAGATGGCAGTGAGGATTATGATAATAATAATAATAATTCTTTTTTCTCCTTTATTCTCATCCTTCCTTCCCTTAACGGAAGAGAAGGCCATTTTATCAGGAAGAGACCAGACCCTTTTCTGTATTACGGAACTGAATCGACCACCACTGAGACGGGAATTTCTGTAAATAAATCATTGCTGTTGTAAGTGAAATCGGGCTGAATTTTTACAAGGAGTTTTACAGTGGTCATTCAGTGAATCATCACAGTCACTAAGCAAATCACACTATCATAAATCAAATCCAGCTTCTTCATTACAATGCTTCTTCAGGCATTTGCTTTGCCTGAAATTAGCAAAAAAGGACATACCGTATTTTTCGGACTATGAGACGTACTTTTTTCCTTCCGAAAAGTGGGTGGAAATGTCTGGGCATCTTATAAAGCAAATACAGGCCCGTTTTTGGTCTGCAGAGTCCTTCTGGACAACGGGGAGAGCAAAAACAGGATGCGCGGAAGCAAAAAACTATTTTTTCTTGCTTTCTTCCTCCAAACCAAGGTGCGTCTTATAGTCTGAAAAATACAGTACGTTTAGATCATGGGATTGCAGGATATTGTAATTGGTAATAAATCCAGGGTGGTTTTGACTGCAAATTGCCCTCGTGTAACCACGAGGGTGGTACAGCTGTCATAATGCAAATGCAGGTCATAAATCACTTTTTTTCCCCGAGGCTGTGGTAACTTCGAACAGTCATTCAGTGAACAGTTGTAAGTCGAGGACTACATGTCCTGAAACACACGCGGCCCAGAGCTGCACACAGGCCCTTCTACTCACCCGCCAGGTCTCTTCTTTTGCTCGCTGGGCTTGGCCTCTTCTAACGGGTTCACTTTGATGTTGAGTGGCGGAGGCACGTGATGCGGGAGGAGTGGCTGGTGGGCAGGTGGCTGGGGCTTAATTGGTGGCTGGGCCATATGATGTGGGGAAATAGCCAAGACGGAAGTGGCATAGTGGGGCAGCTGGCTGGGGCTGGCCGAAGGGGGTGTGGGGACCTTGATGTCCGGAAGAAGGGACCCCGAAGTTTTCTGGATCACGGGGGCCATCAGTGGGGGCTCCTTACTGAGACCCATGTTTAACATAGGTGAGTGCCGCTGGATAAGTGGGGGGGACAAGGTACTCTGGGGGGCTGGCTGAGGGGGGCTGGTGACGACCGGGATGGGGATGACGGAAATGGGAGCTGCCAGGGAGGGGGGAAGAGGAGGGGGAGGAGCTGGAGTGGGCGGAGACAAAGGGACAGCCTGGAGGTCTTTGTGGGATTCTTCCGGCTGGGCGACATGGTTAACCCTTTGCACGCTGGCCTTCTTCTGTTCCTGTTCACGCTCCTGGCAGAGTTTTTCATGTTTTTCATTTTCTTCTGAAAGAGGGAGAAAGAAAGAAAAAATATATATCTTTAATAAGCAATGTGCACAGCTCTATCCACTGTGAAATCACCACAAGAGAATTTTCAAGAATCCACAATTTGTGGCTTGTTACTGAGATAAGCTAGACTTTTTTTGCGAGCTGATGCAAACAGGAATGAGAAAGGGGTCAATGGAAGACCACCAACCTCTGGCCCAAAGGAAGGTCCCATCTCAACTGCGAAAGAATTGTGTAACAGCAATTCAAGATAAGTAAAAGGATGGATCTGATTCCCTCCCACACACACAAAAGAGCAACCTAAAAAAAATGTTTACCTCTCAAAGGGAAACTTCTCACTTATCAGCATTATCTTGTTAACCCCATCCTTTCAACCACATGTAAAAAGCTGCTAGTCCACAGGATTAAAGTTTGTTTTATTCTCCCTAATGGCTTTTCTGATGCCACCTTTTCTGATTAACACCAATTTGTGCTATCAGGCCTTCTGTCACTTTTAATTAGTAACTAACCCTTTAAGGTATTTTGAAATATTACTTCAAGAACCATTCCAATAAGCTCTTAGTTGTCATTGGTATACAGAATTTATTAAACAATAACCTGGTGCTTTCTGAGCTTGGCTGCCTTTCTTGCACGTGTCTCATGACCCAATTAGGAAACACTACAAGTAGTCCTCGACTTATGACCACAACGGAGCCCAAAATTTATGTTAAGTGAGACATTTGTTCAGTGACTTTTGCCCCATTTTACAGTCTTTCTTGCTGCAATTGTTAAATGAATCAGTGTGGTTAATAAGTTAGTAACCTAGTTGTTAAGTGAATCTGACTTCCCCGTTGATTTTGCTTCGTCAGAAGGTCGCAAAAGGGGATCACATGACCTTGGGACACAGCAAGCGGACATAAATATGAAACAGTTACCAAGCATCTGAATTTTGATCACAGGTGATCATGGGAATGCTGCAAAGGTTGTAACTGTGAACAGTCATAAGTCAGTGCCATTGTATCTTTGAGCTTTCACTAAATGAACTGTTGTAAATCGAGAACTATTGATATGCTCTCTGTCATCATCATCATCATCCCATCCACTGTTGATGTTACAGAGTTGAGTCAGGAAAAAACCCAACACAGAGAGCACCAAGGATTTCACAATTCAACCACGGCCTAACAAATATTCTCTTCGGTTGGAATCTATCTATATACTACTAAAAACTCTTCCATCTATATATTACTAAAACGCTCTGGTCTATTTGTAACAGCCAACTGGGTGAAATTGGAGGTGTATGTCAGAGTGTTTGCAGCATGACTACAATTGGGAGACAACCCAGGAGCCAAACACAGCACAGAGGCTTTGTCTTTTAACAGTGGTTTATATACAAGATAGCTATATACGTGGTAGGCAAATACCTGGCAATCAATCAATCGTCTTTACTCTGCACAGAGAACCACAATGGAGACAGAACACACGGAGAAAGAAGTAGGCCCTCTCATGGCCTCATATAGACAGCTTCTTAAAGTGGTAGAAGCCTGTAGACCCATCCTCAGTCTTAAAGTGGCAATAACCATGCAGATTCATCCTCATTGCATCAGCCTTACAACAACTGGTCAGCTATTAAATCTTAATATCTTAACAGTATAGAGCAACAATGATTGAACCAAGGTAATTCAAATGGACTAACTTACATAATGCCAGAACCCATGACTCCTGTGGGAGTGAAATTTGGAGAAACTGTGACCACATTAACATCACCGCTCCTTCCAATGACGCTTCCCAGAAACCTGTAGGTTGTGTGGCACAAGAGAAGACAGGAAGGCTATATCCACTGCTCTTGTTCTAACCTCCGACTCCTCCATCAATTGGCTGGTGCAAGATTTGACAGACCACTAACACTTAATAACTTGCCTAATAAATATTGATCAAATATGAATATGTCCTTTACTCAAAAGGTTTTTTTTTTTTCAAAATTCTGTTACTGGGTTAATTTTGGGCAAGATAATTTCTCAGATTTTTAAATATCACTGGGACAACAAAATATAATTTAGTTTACCACAGTGAACAATAAAACTTAGAACTGATTTCTTGGGTCAATTCATAGGCATTAGGAAACAGAGTCAGTACACTAATCTCAGAATTCAATGAGTGGTTTTCCTCACCTCACAGAAACTTCTGGACCAAATTCATGTCTAAGGGGGGGTTTCACCAGTGATCATAAGCAGCCGTCCATTTTCTGATTGATCTCAAAAAAGAATCAGAACATCTAACATCAAATAACTATGCAGTCGTTTGATAAACGAGATTTAACAGGAAGTTGAAGCCAAAAAATAAAATAAAATCCCAATGAGATTCATTTAAGCCTAAAGATTTTAAAGACTTCCAAGAAAATCTGACCTGCTTAACTACAAAAACTTCATTACGCTGATGGAAGAGAAAACCATGTTCTTTACTTACAACGGCAGAAGAAAATTCATCTCGCACATTAAATTTTGTTCACAGAGAGATTGCAATCCTCAAATTTCGAACAGAACCACAACAGAATTACTAGAGAACGGGGTCAAAAAAGTCAAGATGGTGACCATGATAGTGTGACCAAGGCCCTGCCCTTTATACATGGGGCATGGCTTAAACCAGGGGTCTTCAACCTTGGCAACTTTAAGATTTGTGGACTTCAACTCCCAGAATTCCTCAGCCAGCAAAGCTCCCAAGGTTGGAGACCCCTGGCTTAAACCACATCATTGCCACCACCATCTTGAATTTTCTGACCCACTCTAAGGAAACTCAAGTACAGGTCTGAACAAAAGTCATCCTGACATGGTAGTAGACTTCTAGTGTACCCCAACACTTTTAAGATGAGTGGACTTCAACTCCCAGAATTCCCCAGCCACCATGGCTAGCTAGAGAATTCTTGAAGTCCACACATCTTCATCTGCCAAGGTTGGAAAACACTGCTCTAGAAATTCTCTGAATTTCCAGAAAAAAATTGAAGACTACAGGAACCAGTAGCACTACTCAGGTGACCCTGAGGACACAGATAAACCTCCAAGTGTTTCAATGACCCTCTAAAAGGATGCAAATGACCAGCTGTCTGCAAGGAATATAAATCCTTCCATTCCCCATTATCCTGTCAACTGAAGAAGCATCTTGTATGAGAAGTGAAATATCTTCAAAGAAAAAAGTCCAGTTGCCTTCCGAAAAAGCACCTTTGGGACAACCATGATCTGTGGCCCACTGGTGGGCCATGAGAAAATTTTGGTGGGCCACAGAGAAATCTCACCCCAAGAGCAACCCCACAAAGCAATTAATCCAGGCTATGCAGAAACACAAGTGCCGCGCCACCCACATGGCCCATGGGAACCCTCCCCACCCACTCACTCCTTACCGAGTAAACTTGCCTGCTAAATTTTTATTTTTCCTTTTTCTGACCATCATCTGTTGTCTGTGCCGGGAGATTTAGATTCCTTAGGACTGAAGGTTTGCTTGCAAGCAAATTCAGTGCAGACTCATGGCAAGCAAATTTGAGAGACTGAGCTAGCCGATGGCAGATAGATAGATAGATGGATCACTGAATGATTCTGTGAGCAACTCAATCTGCCTGCTTTGCCTGATTTTGGGTAAAAGTTGCTCTTTTTAAAAAATAAAAAGTTCAATATTTACATGCATGGTGTGTTGTGAGTTAATTTTATGAGTTTGCTTGCGAGCAAATTTTATGACTGATTGAGCTAGCCGATGGCAGATAGATAGATCTCTGAATGAATCTGCGATTCTGCGAGCAACTCCATCTGCCTGCCAGCTTTGCCTGATTTTGGGTAAAAGTTGCTCTTTTCAATATTTATATAAATATTTATATTTACATACAAGCCATGCCCAGCCAATCACATGACCACCAAGCCACACCCACAAATTAGACCACACCCACAGAACCAGTTAGTGGTCCCTGTGATCTAAAATTATGAGTTTGGTGGTCCCTGAGGTCCAAAAGGTTGGTGACCCTGATCTGGATGACTGAGAATCTCTCCAGACTTTTTGCTCTAGAAAAGCTACAATGATTCAATGTTCTCCCTCCCATCTAAAAAATGATTTTTCCTCCATGTTTGCAAGTTATGAGTATGACATGCACATTTTAAGATTTTTCCAGATTCATGAACTGCTACATTCAGGATATGCCAACTGCAGGGATGGGCAGTGAATGTCAAAATTAGGTGAAGCTGCTTCCTCCAAGGACAGATACTTCATCTCCAAGCTTGAAGGTAGAAATGTGAGAAAGCCAAGCAATGCTGTTTCAGTGACCTTTGTACCTGGGGATACAGAGAGCAACCACAGAACTGGATGAAAGGATGTAGCTGCTTTAAAGAGTTGCACAGATGTGCTACAATCCTGTCCTTAAATAATTCAGAGCATCTTTTGGGAATCAAAATCTGTAGACTGCCTGATCCTATGTGAACCCCACCCTGCTTGGTAAACACATATTTACACTTTCAAAATAATCATACTCAAATTTCTTCAGAAGTAAAAGGACGTCAGAACGTTTGGCAGCATGACTACCTTTATGAGACAACCCAGGAGTAACACACAGCACACAGAGACCTAAGACATTAACAGTGATTTAATATACAACAGGTATATACAGAGAATATACACATGGTAGCAAAATACCTTCACAAGCAAGCTTTTCTACTTCCTAACACAAGGAAAACTTCTGCACTGAATACTGGCCACAAGGAAAGAGAACTACACCCTCTAATAGCTGCCTTTTATACACACACCTCTTAAAGAAACTTTACCCTCCAGCCTTAAAGGGAAATACCCATACTCTGCTGAATCACTGATTACATCAGTCAGATTTACATCAGATTCACAGCATCGTGCAGCTACTCACTGCTGGTCAGTTTCTAAATCTAAGGAACTTACCTTAACAAAGGCTTTGTAGTACAAGGTTCTGTTTTGGCTTTCGAGTTATTCTATGTGTTCATAAATGATTTGAATGAAAAGTTAGAGCAATGTTTCTCA